ACACGAGTTCAATATTTCAAAATATGACGCCAAACGGTAAAAAAAGTCAGATGTTACAGTTTTGCACTCTGGTTATTTTTTTTAACAAATATTTTTATTTATTTTTTTTAATAATGAGTCCACATTCCTTTGGACTTTTTGGAAGAGCTGACTTTTCTATGGGATTAGACATACTTTGGGTATACCGTTGTACCATTTCCGGTGGAACAGCATTCCATATGTCCTGTGTCCGTTCCCACAACTCCATCACTTTACTTGAAGGAACTGCATATTTCAACTGCTCCGATTTCACAGGACTCCACAAGTTTTTTTATTGGAGTCATGTCGGGAGATTGTGGTAGCCACTTCATAGATTGAAATTTCTGTTTTGCAATCTTATTTTTCACCATTATGGACGTGTGCTTCGGGTCGTTGCCTTTCCTTGAAAACGCATTTTTGTGCAAAAAGACCCATATTCTCAATAACCTTCGGAAGATTCTCTTGTAAAATGGCTAGATATTGCTCCTTTCGCATTATCCCATCGATTAATACTAAAGGACCAACTCCATTTAAATGAATTCATCCCCGAACCATGTTGGAACCACCACCGTGTTTGACGGTTTTTCGCACATTCCTTGGTGACCGCATCGCTTCGAGTCAGATGGACGCTCTTGGTATAGAATCTAGAAATCCTTTAAAGTTGAAACATTGAACTCGTGTTACAGTTTTGCTCGTCAGTGTATGTACACATATTTGTATACAAATAAATGTTTGGCTGCATTAAATTTAACTATTTTGTTAGGCGAAAAACGAACGAGGGGTAAAAGGGGGTGATGTGATGTGGATGATGTGATGTGGATATATCGACGCATTTCCGCAAAAGTATCGTAAGTCGCTCTTTTTCGAAATTGAGATTTTAATGCAAAATTGTTAGGCACCTATTGTCTCACTACCCTGTGAAATATTATAACTAAACACCCTATAGTTCCGATAAAAATTAAGTTTCAATTTTATCGTATGTTACAGTGATTTTCAATGTGCGCGCGAAATTATCGTATGTCCATACACAAATTTTTTGCATGGAAATACTTCAAACGCACAAAAATAAAGAAATATAATAACCGCTTTCTAATCGCTTAAACATATTATGATTTTGCTTATTGTTTGCAAGAGATTAAATAAAAAAAAGCTTTTCCTGTAAAATTGGATTTTTCAACATACGACACTTTTGCGGAAATGCGTCGATATGTATTTTGGGGTTTATTAATTTTTTCAACAGGCAGTTTGTTATTATTTATTTTATTCAAACTATTCAAATTGTTAGCTCTACTAGTTTTTAAGTACGTACGAGTTTAGGCTGATAAAAAGTCTGTTGTTTGGTCATTGAGCGTTTTCAATGCCGTAAATAAAAAAACGAATTTGTTAATTTTGAACGTTACAAATGTTTATTCCTGCATGCAGATGAAGCCGGATGATCCGCAGATAGACCAGCTTATGGTGCATGCAGGGACTCAAGTAAATACAGAGAGAGGCCCGACAAGTCACCTCGAGCTAAAGCTCTCGAAAATGGAGAGGGCGGCCTGACCTAGACATTGCCGAGCTAAAACTCTCTATAGAAAGCCCGTTGAGTCGAGCGGCCGAGAGAGAGTTGGCTTGCGATCAACAAAGCTTTTGTACAAACTTAGGCCTAATAAATAAACATTACACTAATCATTACACTAAACATTACATAAACATTATTTAAACATAAACATTAAACGCCGTGCTGCTGCTTGACCTGACATCTGCCTTACAAAAAAAAACATTTTTTTCTTAATTCGTTAATATTTTATTCGATTTGTGTTTTCTATCAGCTGATTACTGTGAAAGTTTCATGCGGTTTTATCAACGCTGGTAATTTTGGCGGGACTTTTAGCGCATTCACATTTGCATTGTCGTCAACATGAATAAAATCGAATATAAGATTTAAGTCATAAGATTTCTGTTTTTAAAAGAGAAATCCAACGACGATATTAAAAAGGAGTTAGACAAAGTTTATAAGGATTCAGCTCCATCGTTTTCAACAATAAAACATTGGACTGCTGAATTTAAACGTGGGCGGACAAGCATTTTTGACGATGATCGCCCAGAGAGGTGATAACACCAGAAATTGTGGATAAAGTCCATGGAATGATATTGGATGATCGCCAAATCAAGCTGCGAGAGATTGCAAATGCTCTAAACATTTCTGTGGAACGCGTTGGAAACATTTTACACAAATGTAAAATGTTTACACATCGTCAAGATGGGTGCCGCGGTTGCTCACAATGGAAAATAAACGCAACCGCTTGCACATTGCGAAGGAGAGTTTGGCATTGCTTAACGCAAACAAAAAAGAATTTTTTCGTCGTTTTGTGACTGTTGACAAACCTGGATTCATCCCCATACAACAGAGAGTATGGAACAGTCAAAGCAATGGATTTTTACTGGAGAAACGGCACCGAAAAAAGCAAGATCGGTTTGTCGGCCAACAAGGTGATGGCAACGGTTTTCTGAGATGCCCGAGGTGTAATTCATGTGGATTATCTGGAAAAAGGGAGAACAATTACGGGAGAATACTATTCCAATCTCTTGGGACGACTTGATTCGGAGCTGAAGAAAAAAAGGCCGCACCAGGACAATGCTCCCGCTCACAAGAGCGTTGTCGCCATGTCGAATTGTGTGAATTGCACTATGGGTCATTTCCGATCAATCAGTTATATGGCAGCTATAGGATATAGTCGACCGATCCCGGTCGTTCCGACTTATGTACTGCGTGCAAAGGAAAGAAAGTGTGTGAAAAGTTTCAAGTCCATAGCTTTAATATAACCCAATTTATTAAAATACAAAATCTAAAAAAAGTCCAAACATATTTCTTCAAATATACCAAAGTTGGTATTTCTACCAAAAACCATTTCCGATCGTTCAGTTATATGGAAGCTATAAGATATAGTCAGCCGATCGTTATAAAATTTGGTAGGTTGGATCAACTGACCAAAAATAGAATCTGCACTAAGTTCCTGCTTTCTATCTTCAAAAATACAAAAATTGAGTCACCTCCGATCGTTCATTTATATGGCAGCTAAAGGAAATAGTCGGCCGATCCTTATGAAATTTGGTAGGTCGAATCAACTGAAGAAACATTGAATCTGTACTAAGTTTCAGCTTTCTATCTTCAAAACACAAAAATTGGGTCACTTCTGATCGTTCAGTTATATGGCAGCTATAAGATATAGTCGGCCGATCCTTATGAAATTTGGCATGTCGTATTATTGTATGTCGTATTTGCCAAAAATAGCTTTCTTGTAAAATTTGAACTCTCTAACTCAAAAAACACTGCTATATATGTTATACTGTTATATGGCTGCTATAGGATACAGTCGGCCGATCCGGGTCGTTCCGACTTATATACTGCGTGCAAAGGAAAGAAGGATGTGTGCAGTTCGCGTAGCCTAGTTCGCGTAGAAACAGACAGACAGACGGACATTTCCGATCTTTCAGTTGTATGGCAGCTATAAGATATAGTCAGCCGCTTATTATGAAACTTGGTAGCTTAGACCAACTGACCAAAAATATAATCTTTAAAAACACAAAAGTTGGGACATTTCCGATTGTTCACTTATATGGAAGCTATAGGGTGTAGTTGGCCGATGCTTATGAACTTTGGTATGCCAAAAATTCAATTTGTACGAAATCTAAGCTCTCTAACTCTAAAAACACCGAAGTTATAGTCATATCATACAATATATGTATCATTATATCATTACAATACAAAATCTAAAAAAGTCCCAAGCTTCTATCTTCAAAAATACCAAAGTTGGTATTTCTACCAAAAACAATTTCCGATCGTTCAGTTATATGGCAGCTATAAGATATAGTCAGCCGATCCTTATAAAATTTGGTAGGTCGAGTTCACTGAACAAAAATATAATCTATACTACGTTTCAGTTTTCTATCTTCAAAAAAACGAAAGTTGGGTTACTTCCGATCGTTCAGTTATATGGCAGCTAGAGGATATAATCGGCTTATCCCGGCAGCTCAGACTTATAAACTGAGTGCGAAAGAAACACGGGTGTGTGCAAAGTTTCAAGCTTTAAACTGAGTCGATAGCTTTGAAACAGAGGGACTAGTTTGCGTAGAAACAGACAGACCGACAGACAGACGGACAGATGGACATGCTTATATCCACTTAGGAGGTGATCCTGATCAAGAATATATATGTATATGGTCGGAGATGTCTCCTTCACTGCGTTGCACACTTTTGACCAAAATTATAATACCATCTGCAAGGGTAAAAAATAATTTTTTTGTATTACAAAACAGATAAATAGCCGGCAAAAGGCGTTAACTTTTATTCCAATATACATATGTAGATTAACACATAAACCTCATTTGCAATACGACGTAATATCATTAGTTCTAACTTACGAAACACAGAATTTTTGGGGTTACGATCGATATAAAACATGTTAATATAAATCAACTAAATACAACAAATCAGTAGTTATGTAGAATAACTTGATGAATATTTTCCATACTTAAGATTAAAAATTATAGTGCAACAAACTTTGACCACGTGGAAGATAACCAGGCACAATCAGCTGACTTTAAATTGCTACTTAAAATCCAGGGATGGTCGCAAAAATTTGAAAAATATTTTTATAATGGTGCAAAAGTTTTTTAACGGAATTTCGAAAAAAACAAATTTTTTTATTTAACAAAATAATTTTGGATTTTATGCCGCAAAATCGGCGTTTCAGCCCAATGTGCAGTGATACCCTTGAACGACATGGCGGAAGTGCTTCCACAGAAAATCACCTTTAAATACCATAATCTATATTAACTGACTTTAACCCGTTCCAGCCATTTTCCCGTTTAAGTCATGCGCAGGGCAAAATTATAGATTTTTTAACGCGATATCTTACTACTTTGTTCTACACGTCAAACCGTAAATTATTGTTAAAATGGTTTTAAAATAATTTATAAATTCAACTTAAAATTACCTTTAAATCACGATGGACAACACCTTGCTCGTGCATATAGTCAACGGCTTCTAGTATTTGTCTTACAAGGTGAGAAGCATCTTTTTCAGTGTAAGATCCTTTCTCTACAATGCGATCAAATAGTTCACCTCCAGTTACCCTGCAAAACTCGCAAAAAAGAATTAGTCGTTTTCTGGGTTACGTAGCGTAATAAATAATTAAGATGCACATACAGTTCCATTACTAGGTACACCTTCAATTTATCCTCAAACGTCTCCAGAAGTTGCACAATGTTTGGGTGAGTTAGTCTGTAAAAATAATTTTAATTACTTGTTACTGAAAAGAAAAAATAATCATATGCTAAAAATTATTAACAAAATATGATTCCCAATTGATCAAAAAAATATATAAACTATAACTACGAACCTTCGAAGCCTTACCTATTCGTATCATTTAAATTTTATAGATTTTTAGTGGTATAATCTTGTCTATGTAAATTCTTAGGAAATTCTTATTAATCCAAAGGATTGGGGTATGAACTCACCGCGTTCCATTTGGACAATTGGCATCATTTTGATTAGCACTGAACCTAAATATGAAAAGAAAATAAAATTAAACAAAATAGAATGAGTTAAACAAGGAAAGCAATAAAAATTTTAAACAAAATGAATTAGACGAAATATTAAGAAATTGTTAATATGATTCTATTTTTTTTTTTATTTTATAGTAGATTTACTTAAAACTGAATATTATTTATAGAATTCAATCCCATAACACAGTGCGACAAAAAAAATTTGGAGGAACTTTTGAAGAGACCTAGTAGGAATTGTTTATTAGGTCGAATATAGAATAAAACCGTATTTGAAATTTTTTATACACACTCAAAACCTTGATTTATTTAGAAAAAACGGTTTTTCGGAACCTTTTTGCTCTTAAAAATTCCAAAGCGCGTAATTTTAAACCGCTTAAAAAATTTTTACGTTGTAGCTTTTGAAAAAAAATAGATCTTTCATTTATTTCAACAAAAAGGATAAACTTTTTACGCAAGAAACTGAAATTTTTGATTTTTTGTGTTTTTTGGACTTTGACGCCATTTTTTCGGTACAACTTCCAAGAAATGGTATAATTTTTGACTTATATCAATATTGTCTTGTTATTTCTGAATAAAACGAGACCAATTTCATTAGGAAATTATGTTGAAAATTGTTGAAGTTATAACGCTTTTCACAGGTCTCTTCAAAAGTTCCATATCACTGTCGCACTGTGTAATCTATCTCAAAACAATACAAAAGAATACACTTAACAAAAAATAAACAAAAATAAAAAAAATAATAGGTATTTTCTAAGATAGGCTAAGAAATTATAGGCAATAAGGCAATCGAATAAAAAAATAAGAGTCGTTTATGTTGTTGAATAAGCCTGCCTCTAAAATAAGCCAGCCGCTTTCGCAAAGCAATGACCCAAAATGCATATTGCAAAAATTGTGCTAAGATTATCAGCATTGAATTTAATCCTTCGTCGATATAAGATGCTTGTTGCAAGTTATCAAGTTCGGTTGTGATCGGAGCTGCTGTTTTTCTTCCTAGGTATATACCTTCTGTCAAAAAAATACCGGGACTGGATTAATTAAAACGCCTGTGCTAAACCGATTTCGGACATTTTTTTTTTTGTTATGTTTGTCGGGTCAAGCAGCAAGCAACTAATTTAAACACAACAATTAATTAGTAACTGATGTTTTGTTGGTCGCAAGCCGACTCTCTTTCGGCCGCTCGGCTTTGCTAATTCGGCGTTTAAAGTTAGCGAGCATCCGCTCAGCCTATTCTGGAAGGTTGGCGCCACTCTCGTTCATCTTCTTACTGCGCTCGCATCCTAGATTGGATTTCCCATAGTGTTCATATATCCTCATAAATCCTAATTTCATATGCGGCCTGAATAAAGCTTATAGCGTTGAACCTAATTAAATTCTGATTTTTTATTTACGGCATTGAAAACGCTCAATGACCAAACAATGTTGCTAACACTGTTCTGCATTACTAAGTAAAGTTTGAGCGCGATCTGTGAAGTAGTTTGTTTACAAAATTACCTTTTCTAATTTATTTCTTTGGTTATTGATAAGTGAACGTGCATGGTTAAAGCAAAATGATTATGTTGGAAAATATGATTGCTCTTTGAGTTTTTGAGGAATATGCAATGAGGTGAAAAGTCTAAATGGAAGATTTAATCTGAAAATAATCTATTGCTGCAGATTTAATCTAATGCTGATGCGTAAGCATAAAACAACCATGAAAGCAGTGCTGAGCTGAGCGAAAAAACTTTCTTATTTCGGTTTTTCTTAATTTAAAAATTCGAATGTCGGTACTCGTTGAAAATTGAAAAAATAATTTTTATTTTCAATGTTTATACCCTTGCAGATGGTATTATAATTTTGTCCAAAAGTGTGCATCGCAGTGAAGGACACATCTCCGACCCTATAAAGTATATGTATTCTTGACCAGGATCACCTCCTGAGTTGATATGATTTTTGTATTCTTTTGCTTTATTAGTCTCGACAAAAAATTAACATACTTAACATAAATATAACCATAATAACGGGGGGGAAGGTGGTTGTTCATGGATGATGGATAGTGAGGGCTTGAGAACGGGCGGGACGACCGCTAGGCATTGTTTCGCCCGCCACAGGCCCCAACTCTCCACTCTACCACCTCTCCTGCTCGAAGCTCCTGAGCCTCTGCATTAACGCTGCAGCAAAATATGCTACTGCGTCCCAGAGCATCTGGTTCTCCAGCATTACCTCCACAAGGTTTCCTGGGTGGATTGATCGGCCGCCGTCGTCTCCAGTCGGTGGCGCTCTCGTGCAAACCGGCGGCCCTCAAAGACAACGTGCCTGGCGTCCTCGACTATCGATCTCCCGCACTTCGGGCACCAGTTCTCCTCCGCGTGGCCAAAACGCTTCAGGTATTGCCGGAAGCAGCCATGTCCACTCAAGACCTGGGTCAGCGTCCCAGCAATCCCGCCAGGCTGTGAGCGACCTCTCCTTGGCATACTCCCTTGCAGCTGTATTGGGGGTGCCGCCGGCACCCTCATTGCGAGCACGGGTTCCCTTAAGCTCCTTGAGCTCTCGAGCGCGCTCCTTCAGCGGGACCATCCCCGCAATAACCAGAATGGCGTCGTCGGAGACTGTCCTGAAGCCGGACGCGACTCTTATAGCACCAAGCCTGTAAACTGCATCTACCCCTCTCCTGTAGCTGGGCGTATTCATCGCTTCAGCCCAGATGGGCGCTGCATACAAAATTTGCGCCGAGGCAACGCTCACGAGGAGCCTTCTCCTGTTCTGCTTGGGGCCTTTGGTGTTTAGAAGGATCCTGGCGAGGCCCCTGGTAGTGGCTGCAGCCTTGCCCTGGATATATTCAAGGTGCTCGCGGAAGGAGAGCCGGGCGTCGATCATCACACCCAGATATTTTATGGCCCGCTGGGAGGTTATGGCCATTCCACCAACCCGGATCAGCACCGCTTCGGTCTTTTGCGGGGCTAGGCTTAGACCGGCATTTTGGAGCCAAATCTCCATTGCCTCGATTGCCTTGTTCGCCGCTCTCTCCACTTCCTCCCTGTGCTTGGCCACAATCACAAACGCTACGTCGTCTGCGAAGCCGATGACGTCGCATCCCGCTGGGAGCTGCAGCCTCAGGTTCCCGTCATACATGGCGTTCCACAGCAGCGGTCCTAGGACCGATCCTTGGGACCCACCCGCCGTAACGTCGTAGGACTCCGTGCCCATGTCCGTGTCGACCAGTAGCACTCTGCAGCTAAAGTAGCTACTGACGACGTTCATTATGGCCATGGGAACGTCGCCTTAGGGCTGCCAGTGTTTTGCCCCAGTCCGCCGTGTTGAAGGCGTTCCTGATTTCCAGGGAGACTATCAGGCAGTATTGCTTGGAGCCACCTTCCCACCTGGTTCCCGCAATTGCGTTGCAAGCAATGCCGACCACCTCTGCTATGGCATCCACCGTAGACCTTCCCTTCCGGAACCCATACTGCTTGGGAGACAGCCCTCCCGCCTCCTCTATGGCACCCTCTCGAAGACCTTGCCCGTTGTGTCCAGCAGGCAGATTGGCTTATAGGACGACGCCTCCTCCCTTGGTTTCCCTGGTTTGGGGAGCAGCAGGAGCTTCTGTACCTTCCACCTGGTGGGAAAAGTGCCTTTGCGGATACATTTATTGTACAGCTCCGCAAAGCTGCCCGGCTGCAGAGCTAGAGCCAGCTTCAGGGCTCGGTTAGGAACCGAATCCGGCCGGGTGCTTTGTTCGGGGCCAGACCTCTCCCTATGGCCAGAACTTCCTCTTCCGTTACCTCCTCAGCCGCTTCATTGTCTGCTGCGGGGGTGGGAAGCTGGGTGACCTGGTTGCCGGCTGGGAACAGTGCTTGCACTATGGTCCTTAGTACGTTCGGTTCCGTGGGGGACTGGCTTCCTGCGCGCAGCCTCTTCACCACTATCCGGTACGAGTTGCCCCATGGATTTTCCTCCGCCGAGTCGCATAGCTCCAGGAAGCATTTCCTTTTGCTGTCTCGGATGGCCACCTTCAATGCTTTGCGTCGGTCCTTGAAGGCTAGGTGCCGCTCCACAAAGGCGTCGGTGCCTCTCACGCGCTGCATAAGCCTCCTTGCTCTCATGCACTCAGCTCGGATGGAGCCAATCTCGTCGCTCCATCAGTAAACGGGAGCGCGGTTTTTACGGTAGCGGCTTCTCCGCTGCATGCTCGCCATGCACGCTGCCTCCAGCTTAGCAGCCAGGGTATCAGCCATTTCGTTGGCTCCGCTTGGTAAGACGTTGCCGATGTCGCGCGCTGCCTGCTGCCTCGGTGAAGTTCCTCGCCTGGAGCGTGCCGACTCTGTAGCCTCGTGGATTCGGATCCCTCGGTCGTTCTTGAGGGCTACCAATTGAGCACAATATTGCTTCGTGGTCGCTGGCCATAAAGCTGCCGCTTATCCTCCAGTTAGCGTCAGTCGCTAGCAAAGGGTTTGCGAACGTCAGGTCTATGATGGATCCTGCTCCGGCTCTGCTAAAGGTGTGCTGGTTTCCTTCGTTCAGCAGTACGAGATCGAGTGAGGCAAAGGTTTCTCTGACCACTCTCCCTCTCGCATTCATCCTCGGGCAGCCCCAGTCCTGCGCCCATGCGTTGAAGTCCCCTGCTACAAGGACGTCAGAACGGCCTCTAATATCATTTCCTAGGCAGTCCATCATGCGCTCAAACTCATTGGTGGTTAGATGCCATGTAGCAGCTGTAAAGCCATGCCCCACCTATCTGAGCCC